GGGCATCTGAGTTGGTTCCATGTCTTAGCTATGATAAATAATGCTGCAATAAACATAGTTGTTCTGGTAGCTTTAGTGTGGTCTTGTTTGTAAACATTTGGGTAAATGCCCAAAAGTGGAATTGCTGGGTTATAGGGGAGCTCTATGTGGGCTCTTTTGAGGAACCTCCATACTGCTTTCCAAAGTGGTTGAACAAGTTTACACTCCCACCAAAAATGCAATAGGGTTCCCTTCTGTCCACATCCCCTCCAGCATCCGTTGTTATTAGAGTTCTTGATTATAGCCATTCTAACTGGGGTGAGGTGGTATCTCAATGTTGTTTTGATTTGCATTTCTTTTATGGCTAGGGAGGTTGAGCATTTCTTCATGTGTCTATTGGCCATCCTTCTTTCCTCTTCAGAGAAATTTCTCTATAAGTCTTTAGCCCACTTATTTATTGAGCAGTTGTTTCTTTGAAGATTTGTTTTGGGGGGATTTAATTTTTGAGTTCCAGGTATATTTTGGATATGAGATCCTTGTGCCTTGTATGGCTAATGAAGATCTTCTCCCAATCCATTGGCTTTCTTTTGATCTTGCTATGTCCTTTGCCATGCAGAAGCTCTGCAATTTCATGCAATCCCATTTGTCCAGCCTTTCTTTGATTTGTTGTGTTTCTGGGTCTCTATTAAGAAAATTTTGGCCTGTGCCAAGGAGACCTAGGGTTTCTCCTTTTCCACCCTGTAATGTTTTCAGGGTGTCTGCTTTCACTCCGAGGTCTTTGATCCATTTGGAGTTGATTCTGGTGCAGGGTGATATATAAGGATCTAGCTTTAGTTTTGTACAAGTAGTTAACCAATTTTGCCAGCACCATTTACTGAAGAGTCTGTCTTTCTTCCATTCTATTGTTTTAGCTCCCTTATCGAAGATTAGATGGCTATAGGCATAAAATTAACCCTCAAAAATCAATGGCTTTCCTGTATGCCAACAATGAGAAGAGCACGGCTGAAATTAGGAAAGCAACTCTTTTTGTAATAGCCCCACAAAAAATAAAGTACCTAAGAATTAAATTAACCAAAGAAGTGAAGGACCTCTATGATGAAAACTTTAAAAACCTGAAAAAAGAAATCAAAGCTGAACCTAGGAAGTGTTAAAAACTCCCATGCTCCTGGATTGGAATCATCAGCATTGTGTAAAAGGCAATACTTCCCAAGGCTGTCTACAAATTCAATGTGATACCTATCTATATTCCAACCTCATTCTTCAAGGAAGCACAAGAGGCAATCCAAAAATTCATATGGAACAATAAAAGACCCCAAATAGCAAAAACGATCCTTAATAGAAAGAACAGTGCTAGAGGAATATCAATACCAAATTTCAAACTCTACTACAAAGCCATAGTAATCAAAACAGCTTGTTACTGGCACAAGAACAGACCTCAGGACCAATGGAATAGAATTAAAAACCCAGAAATTTACCTAAAGACGTATAGCCATCTAATCAATTAAATCTTAACGTGAAGGATTTTCAGGATGATTCAACATGTCAGTGTCTAGTTTATTTGTCCCTTCAAATTTCCCTAATTTCACCTTGAGACCCACATTCATATAGTCTGTATCCTCATTGGAACATAAACTCCAGAAATAAGGGAACTTCTATATTTTTCATTACTGTATTTCCATATGCATATTCAGCAGTATATGCTAAATGATAAATATTGAATTTCATGCAATGCCTAGGGAATTAAATAAACCATTCTTTCATTATTTGCAAAATGTATGATAGAAATATGGTTTAAAATTAAAATATTTGTTTAAATAAATCTATAAAAGATGTAATATATGAAACTCCTTTTAAAACAATATTTAATAATATTAAATACACAAAGACAAGCTTCTGTGTTTCTATTTAACATGCCATACACATTCTGACATTTAAGTGAATTATGTAAGAAGAAAAATCATTGTATATGAGTTGTCAAACTTAGGATCAAGAATGATATTGTTCCAGGTGGTTCTTAACAGAAAATAAATCTCATTCATGAATCATTATTAGTCTCAATAAATATAAACAAGAGTTAAGTATGCTTATTTATGTGTTTTGTTTTTAAACATTAGTTTTTAAAATAGAGTTATATTGTACCTATTGGGAGTTTTAATTGGATGGGTCTGGTGAGTATGATCCAAAAGCAAATTTGCATATATTTTTCATACATACTATTAATATTATTTTCCTTATTCTCTTTGTCTTTAACAACAAATCTCATGGTTTATGTACTTAAATAATGACACAATATGGATTCAAAGTTTACAAAATGACGGGCCTGAGGATAAAATTTACTTAAATGTGGTATTTTTCAAATTACTAAGGCTTAAAATGTGGACTGATTCTTGATAGGCAGACAGTTTTCCACTTAAGTCACACTTTCAGCCCTAGAAAAATATTTAAAATAACAATCATACCACTTCCAAAGCAAACATTTTTTAGGTATATAATAAAGCAATTGAGAATGTTGAGTAGAGGACATCATGAATAGGCTTTTCTGTTCTCCACTGATGGCCATATATGTTTACTCCATATTTAATTTTGTAATTTTAAGAGAATATTTTAGTGGCATTAGTAATTGATAATGATTAAAAGTAGTCTAATATATCACTGTTACAAAATTCTGCTTTTGTTTATTATATACAAAATATGAATACAGATATATCTACATGTCTACATGTGTGTTTATATTCCATTTATCTCTGTAACAGATCATAAGGAAAAATATAAAATTTTATCCTGGTCTCAAAATGTATGAAAAAATATACCCAGAATGTATTTCAGGTTAAATTCTCAAAACCAAACTAACATTTTTTTAGCAGAAAGCATGAATAAATATCTTCCCACAATGTGGAAAAATTGTGTTGTTTGATCCATGAATGTTAAATGTGCAAAGCAGTGGGCAGTCTTTTTACACTCCCACCAACAATGTATGAGTATTTCTTAGGTAAAAAGATGTTTACCCATATATTCTTCTAAAAACTTTAAAATTTGTCTTTGAACAATTAAGTCTGAAGTATATTTTGGATTTAACTTATGTAAGATGATACCAAAGTGCAATTCTATTATTTTTCCTTATTGGAAAATTCTTTTCCAGGTTTGTTTTCCAACTGGCTTCCTCACAACTGATGTTCTCTTCCATTGTCAAAAAAATCTTGAGAGGACAACAGCCTGAGTCTGTGTTTCTATTCAAAGAAACTGAGGTCTAACAATATAAACAGTCATAAATTGAGCCTTTAACTCACTTGTGTAGAGACTATAAGGTTAATATGCCACTTTAATGAATCAAATATTTTATATTGTTTCCTGTACACTCCTCATGGCTCTTCTTCATTTTTCTGTGATCTATCACTACCTGATTCATCAATCACTGTCTTCTCAACTAAACTGATTAAAATTTGCATATGCCTGGTTTTGTTTTTATCTTGGTCACAAATCAGCATCCCATATATTCCTTGTAGTTTCCAATAACTTTTTTTCAGAAAACTTTTCATTTCCAGTGATAATGTCTTGCTATCCTGATTATGATTCTACCTAAGATCTGGTATCATATATCCTTGTCCCTATTTGTCTATTGATATTTAAAATTGAAAATAAGCATTGTTAAGCCGGGCACCAATGGATCACTCCTGTAATCCTAGCTACTCAGGAAGCTGAGATCTGAGGATCACAGTTCAAAGCCAGCCTGAGCAGGAAAGTCCTTGAGATTCTTATATCCAAAAAAACACCAGAAAAGCTGGAGGTGGAGCCGTGGCTCAAGTAGTAGAGCACTCAAGTTGAGCTGAAGGGATCAGGGACCACATCCAGGCCCAGAGTTCAAGCCCCATGACCAACTATATATATATATATATATATATATGTAAAACTTCACAAGTCCAGCCAAAAAACCTTGGAAGAGTTTTGAATGGAGTTACACTACACAGTCTAATTATAGATCAATTTGAAGAGAATATACACAGCAACAATTTCATCTTCTAGTTCATGACATATTATCTCTATTTAAATCTTCAATAATATATTCCAGTGTTTTGCATTCCTTGTTATTTAAAATATAATCCATTTACATTTTTCATTAAACTTATTTGAATTTCCACTACACTTGATTTGCTATAACAAATGTTACTTTTTTAAACAGAGTTTTCTGGTTCTTTGCACATGTATACAAATATAGATTTGACATTTTAAGCTCAGTCCATTTTTATTTGAAATTGTAGAGGCATTAATTGAAGTAGAATAAAACCTTTAAAAATACTATAATTTTTTGAATTTTGACAAAATGCCATGAAGATCAAGGTATAATGGAATTCAGTCACCCTACCAAATTGTCCCATCTTCTCTACAGAATATTCTTGCATCTAGCTCCAGCCTCTGCTAGTGATTGATTGGTTCCCTCTGTCATTTATAGTTCTAGAAAATGTGATACAAATAGAATTAAAGAGCATTTCAGTCATTTTTTTTCACTTAGCAAATGATCTAAATATGCTCTTGTGTTCATTAGTAGTTTACTGTTTTCCTTTACTTGCGGAGTACTATTCCATTGGTTTAGATATATGACAAAGCTTGTTAATTCATTCACAAATTCTTCCTACATTTGACTATTATGAACTCATCCATAAAATATTCATATCATAAAATATGTGTTTTATGAAAACAAACTTTCTGTCTCTAGTAAAATTTGGGAGTGGGATTGCAGATTTGTGATGTAAGAATGTGTTTTACATCATAAATGAAACTGTGACAGACTAGTAGAGGCATCAGCCAGAACAGCCACAGCCTGTGCCCTCTCAGTCCGCCCGCTGCCCTCGACTGCTACGGGGTCTCATTCCCCATTCCTCCTCCTCCTCCACTCCCTCCTTCCTCCTTGGCCTTCCCACCTGTTCCCACTGTTCCACCCCAGCCTCCCACCCTTCCTCTTCTCTCTGGCTCCTTTTTTTCCCCTGAGTCACCTGGATTCTGCAGTTTTTTGATCACCCAAAGTCCAGCTTCCTATAACACTGCTCGACATGGACACCCGTGAGATGGAAGGTGGATTAAATGTCATTCTCACCATCAGGCTACTTATGTATGGAAAGGAAGTTGGCAGTATCATCGGAAAGAAAGGAGAATCCGTTAAGAAGATTAGAGAGGCGAGTGGTGCACGAATCAACATCTCAGAAGGGAATTGTCCTGAGAGAATTATCACCTTGGTTGGACCCACTAATGCCATCTTTAAAGCTTTTGCCATGATCATTGACAAACCAGAAAAAGACGTCGGCAGGTGTATGAACAACACTACAGCTACCAGTAGACCTTTGATCACTCTAAGGTTGGTGATTCCTGCTAGTCAATGTGGCTCTCTCATTGGAAAAGGTGGTTGCAAGATCAGGCAAATACGAGAAAGTACAGGGGCTCAGATCCAAATGGCAGCAGACATGCTTCCCAACTCAACTGAGAGGGCCATCAGTATTGCTGGCATACCACAATCCATCATTGAGTGTGTCAAACAGATCTGCATGGTCATGTTGGAGTCTCCTCCAAAGGGCATCACCATTCCTTACCGGCCCAAGCCGTCAAGTTCTCTAGCCAGCTTTGTAGGCGGTCAGGACAGGTACAGCACCGGCAGCAACAGTGAGAGTTTCCCCCACACTAGCCCATCCGTGTCCTTCAACCCTGACCAGGAGGGATCGTCCATAGACGTGACCAAAATGCACCCGTTGGCAATACAACAGTCTCATTTTCCCATGACAAATGGCAACACCGGATTCCGAGCAGGTTTGAATGCGTCTGCTCACACTACTTGTCAAGAACTCACCATCCCAAATGATTTGATTGGCTGCATCATTGGGCGTCAAGGAGCCAAAATCAATGAGATCCGTCGCATGTCTGGGGCGCAGATCAAAATTGCAAATCCAGTGGTAGGATCTCCTGACAGACGGGTTACCATCACTGGATCTACTGCCAGCATTAGCCTGGCTCAATATCTGATCAATGTCAGGCTTTCCTCGGAGACCAACCGCATGGGGAGCAGCTAAAGCAATGCAGACTCATCCCTAATTCCTGTCAGCTGTAAGCCTCTACTACCCCTAATCCATCTGTGTAGTTTCTGAATAGTCAACGATCTCAGGTTTTAAATAGTTTGTAAACTTCAGTAGCTACACACTTTATAGTCCACTTGTGGTTTTTTAATTAAGGCATTTGAATTCCTTTCCCTGTTTAGCTGTTAATGCTAAGATCATATTTAGCTTTATAAGCCGCCCCCCCCATTTTTGTGGGTTTGTTTTTGGCTCATGAATTTCCCATGAAAACTGTAAGAGTAGAATATTAAGTAATAATGGAATATCAATCCTGTAAGCCAGCATTTTTTTTAATATTAAAAGAGGGGCTGGTGCTTTTTTTGTGTATGATGAGAAACGAGATACCACAAGTGATTCATGTGGGTTTCAGTCCTGTTGTCTTGCTTTTATTTTTGTGCCTTTTATTCTTCACAAGACCCAGTCTGGGTTTTGTTTGTAAGTTTGATTGGGGAGGGGAAAGAGAAGCACAGAAATGGTGGGAAAAAGGGTGAACTAATTCACTAGTGATACACACTCGACCCTATGTTGAAAATGAATTATACAACTTGGGAAAAAAAGAGATCAGGAAGGGAAAGACTGGAACAAAATGAGAAGAGGGGTGGCACTGTTAAAATGTATTCAATACCTGGCTTATGCACCTCTAAACCCCATGTACATAACCTTTACAATACAAAATTAGAAAGACTATTTAAAATATTTTCATCAGTTCTACAATTGCATTTTTTATTGGTCCTTAATATTCTTTTCCCATAAGCCAGTACCTTGTTGACCCTTGTAAAAATTTGTGCCCAAAGATTGAGGATTATATTTTCCTAGGACTTGACTTGCAAGAATTCCTGCGGTAATAGAAGAGATTGTACATCTATGATGTATTGCCAACTATCTGATGAAAACTCAGGTTCCCCATTTGTTAGTAAATGGAAAGACTTGGGAAAAAATCATATTAAGTGGGCTGGGAAGGTGGCTCAGTGGTAGAGCGCTTGCCTTGCATGCATGAGACCCTGGGTTCGATTCCTCAGCACCACATAAGCAAAAAGAAAAAGCCCGTAAGTGGCGCTGTGGCTCAAGTGGTAGAGCACTAGACTTGAGCTGAAGAGCTGAAGGACAGCGCCCAGGCCCAGAGTTCAGGCCTCATGACCGACCCAAAAAAAAATCATATTAAGTGAAGTAAACCAGACCAAAAGAAATATAGGTCCCATGGTTTCCCTCATTTGCAATAATTAGTATGTGTCTAGGGAAATTTTATCAGATGAGCAGAAAAGCTCAAAAGCTATGTGCATATGACCATATAAGAGGATGCTGAGTGAAATGAACCCCCAAGTATGGACACAGGGGTTTTTCTTTGTTGTTGTTGTTTTAAAATGTACTATGTGATTTTTTTTGTTTCTTTTGTATGTTCTTCACCCTACAGTATATCCCTGTTATCACTGTATTTGCTTTTGGTCCCCTGCATCTTGTATATATATTTGTCAAATTTGGGAAGAGGATAGGCAATAACAAAACACTGAAACAATGACACAGGATGAACCATTGCAACAATGATAATCATAAGACAGTATACTGGAAATTATCTTTACAATCTGGGGGGGTTTGAAGGTGGAGGAGGGAAGGATAATGGAAGAACAACAAGGGAAGGGGTGTGACAAAGCTGGACAAGAAATGTACTCATTGCCTTACCCATTTAACTGTAACCCTCTCTAGAGCTTCTTTACAATAAAATAAAATTTTAAAATAGACTCAGCTTCTTGGGAATGTCTGTGCCTTTGTTCACATTTGCATACTTTTAAAAATTAAGTACCTTGTTCAAAAAAAGAAGCTTTAAAACTTTTGCTATTGCCTCTCTCCCTTTAAAACATTCAGTTACTTCTGTACAAATTGCGGTGGAAGCCATATTTTTTCCATTCTATCAGTACTTATTAAAGTGTATTTTCATCAGTTTATACTTGTTTTAACACTGTCAGTTTTTCCACAGTCTCACTAGCACCTGGTATGTATTGCTAATAATTTTGTTGGCACTGTAATTTGAACTCAGGTGTGGCTTGCAAGAAAGTTATTCTGTCACTCAAACCAGGCCTCCAATCCATTTTTGCATTTTTAGGTAGAATCTCACTTATATTTTTGATCCAGTCTGAGCTACAATTCCCAAACTTTTTCTTCCTTTTATCACTGGGGATGATAGGCTTCTGTAGCTGGGATAACAGCTGTGTACCACCTTGCCCAGCCACTTACTAAGATGAGAGCTCATAACTTTAGCTGGGAATGTTCTTAAACCATGATCTCTCATCTTTGCCTCCCAACATGCTAAGACTTTAGGCTTCAGTCATTGTGTCCAGATGTATTTCCAAATTTTGTTTCACTAAGTTCATACTACTAGTGCATTCAAGTTTTGATTTGCTTTTTTAATGTAATGACTAATGATGTTGAACATTTTATTTATAGAAATATTGAATATTTTACAATCTCTTTTAGTGAAATACTTTTAAAACTTTTATCCAGTATGTTACCTAATTATTTTCTTCATATGTGCTGTATACCAATCATATGTTAGATGTAGGTTCTTCAAATTTGTTTTCCTAGTGTATGTTTTAACTTCTCATTAGCTTTCAAAGAGCAGAAGTTTTGAGTTATCTTGTTTCAGCATCTCTAGCATTATGATTATAAATTTATGACAACATACTTTCTTCTCTTAGTTTTCCATCATGAATGAATATATACTTCTATCAAATGCTTTACCTACATTGAAGTGATTCATTCTTTGTATATTTTAAAGGAAAAAATTAAATGTTCATATTTTCTAACACAAACCACTCTCAATTCTTGAGATACAAATCTAGTTTGGTCATACATTTTCCTAAATTGTAGGATTTTGTTAGCTTTTTGTCTGTGACCGTGGAATCTGTAGTCAAAGTAAAATCACTGATTTTTCTTTTTTAATATTTGTTTGGTTCTGCCATGCTTATACCAACCTCACTAAGTTGTGTATTTTCTCTCTCTGTCTCCTTGGAAGAGTTGCATGTATTAGAAATATCTGCTCCTTTTCTGTATTGCTTTTAAAACACTGTAGGGCAACTGTTTAATTTGCCAAAAGTTCTCACATGACTGGTTTGATATCTGTGGTAGTTGAATCTTCAAATTTTTATTTCTTCCTGAGTCAGTTTCAGTTATTTATATATACTCCAGGAATTTTCCATTTCGTCTAACTTTGCTGGTTCACTGACAAGATTTTTAAGGAATCTTTCCAATGATAATTTAATACTATAACTGATCATGATTCATTTCTCTTCAATGTAATTATACTTTCTTTTAGAAGACAGATCTTTCTGGAAGCTTTTCATTAATATTTTTATGTATGAGTGCTATTTTTGATGTTCATAGATTGCAGTGACATACTTGTTCCATGTAACATCTACTAAGCTATAGTAATTGCTAGAGGCCACCTGGTTTTATTCAGAAAAAAACCTGTTTCTGCTTGCACTGGATTAAAACATAGAATACAATTATTATAACTTATTATGGTTTTTAGGCATACTGTGAAAAGCTTATTTAAATTCACCTTCTTTTTTCTATCTTTCAGTATTAGGAGTAAGAATATGAAGCTTTACTTTAGGTTCAGCAAAATAAAATGAGATTCAAAGTGAATAATTAATTTTGTATATGTATTGAAATATTTTGGGGAGAAACATCAGTGTCACTTTAATTCCAAAATCAAGTATATAAATATTATTTCCAATACTAATACAAAATATTTAACACATTTTCTCTCTGTTTCTCCAGTTTTCTTTATGTCTGAGCAGGTATATTAGATATGATATTTGGGATTTTAGCAACTGCCAATATTTTTTGAAAAACAAACCAAAGCATTGTGACTTGGAAAACTAGCATGTTAGCATGTATTGCATTATATTCAGAGCCAAGTAAAACTGAAATACTATTTTTATCTTCAGAATACTAAGATCTAATACATCATTTCACAGTTATTTCTTACAAATTAGGGAATCTTCCTTGAAATCCCATTGCAATAGATTTCCTAATAGTATCATCTGTTTTATATTACAGGTGATATACTCCCAGTCCTTTTCATTGTTCCTTGCAGGTCTCCTGTAAAAAGGTAGAAAGATTTTGCATGTAGGTTTAGAAATCAAACTATCTAGGCTTAAATCCTTTCTCTACCACATCTTTATTATTTGGCTGCTGACAAATCACTTAAACAGTCATTAGATAATTGTTCTGTGGATTTAATGAACAAAATTAACAATGACACTTGATTTATTATAAGATTTAACTGAAGGCTTTCAATAAATAAAAAGGGGTTTATTTCTTTTTATTCAATGATACTAAAATTAGTGTAAAGTTCTGTACATTTTTGGCCTTGATATTTAAAACTTTATCTCAAACCAAAATGTTAGTGTGTAAAGATAAAGAATGGGTAAATTCTATTAAATACAAAGCATAAACATCACTTGCTACTGTTTAGAGGACAATATGTAAAAATAATGCTTTTACAGAGAAGATACCAATAAAATCAGGCTAATGAACTTATACATCTCTTTACATAATTACCATTTCAATGTGGTATGAATATTTGAAATCCACATTTTTAGGGATATTGAAATGCAAAGTTATGATTGATATTACTGTAATCAACAGGCTTCAAAATCGATTGCTAGAATGTATTGCTCCATTACAGCTAAAGATTTTTTGTCTTTCACTTAAGTATCTTTTCTGCTTTGAAACTTCCTCCCCATTTTTGTATTTCCTGGTTTTTGGAAGGACCCAGTGTCTCAAGCTTGTGGGGGTTACAGTTTCCATTTCATCAGTCCAAAGGATATCTCTGAAAGAAACTTCTACAGTCTTACACATCAAATTGACCCATTAGATTGCCACTCTATCATGATTACAACTCTTATCACTCTGGAGGGGCAGAATGTTACCCAGATTGAAGACCTGGGTTAGGAATC